ACCTTTTGCAGTTTGGCCCCGTTTTCGCGAGCTCCGTCGGGGTCCGGGCAGTGGGGTACAACTGAGAAAACATTGGATGCGCTTCATCGAAAGAAAAAACAAAACTGGGAACGACTCCGAAATTTATGGTGAAAATAAGGAAAAAAATATTCTAACTTGCACATGCATACGCGCAATCATGATATGTGTTAGTTTAAAATAAAACTGAGTTTGTTTTCTATTCTCAAGGTGTAGAACGAGTTCGGATTTAAATTGCAGTGGTTGTTTTTTTCTTTCAAAAGAACCGAAGGCCATATATTAGATAAAATTAGTCCTTATAGGAATGAAAAATTGCAGGCAAGTTCTTGAAGAAATCAGCATTGGCTTCCTTCCACACCCAATAGTGGTGCGTCGTGCTGCCTCTAGGTCGTCATCTTGTTGAAACACATGAGTTTAAAGAAGTAACGACAGGGAATTCATTGATGTAGAGGTGCAAACGCTGACAAAGCAAACTAGATAGATCGTCATGCCGAAGAAGCCAACACCAAGGAGGGCCCACAAAATAATCTCAACTCGCAAAACAAAGAAGAGGACACAAACCTCAAAAGTTCCCTGACGAGCCGTATCTAGCTGCTACAGGGATGGATATGAAAAAAGAGAGAAAAACATGTTGCGACCCTTTCACAATATGCCACCACTAAGAACAAACGCTAATTACGCCAGACCGAGTGACCGACAATCGACTTCATCCTCCGACTCGTTGACGTCACTAAGAGGAAGGATAATGACATTGGTAAAGCCAAAGCTCCATTATTCCCATCACCATCGCTGCCCTAACTTCACCTGTGGTGATAAACTCGAAAACCCTATGAGACATAGCGGTGCTCATATCTACGGTTCCCCTATCCTCCTACCGCTGCGGGAGGCAGAGGCCAGGGGAGCCCGCATGCTGAGGGGAGACAAGTGAACCTCCTATGGCCTTCTCTCTAGCAAACCCTAGGAAAATGTTTAATTAAAGGGAAACAAAGCTATGTAAAATGCGTCTTGTGATGATAAAACTAAAAGAACTTCTAAAATAGTTTTCCTGGGAGCACAGATACACCGCAAATTCAAGTGCCACACAAGAGTGGCTTTGACATTCCGTGGTATCTAAATTTAGTTTTCTCGGGAAACATTGAGTGGTTTTCACATTCCATGGCATGAATAGAATCTGACACGGACACGAGGTTCGTGCTGGACGTTGGGCAGCATAAACACATGGCCATAGGAGAACAAATGCTTGATCTTAAAGCAACATGAATTGAACCGAGAAGGTTAGCGAATTGCAACAAAGATCTTCTTTCTTATGGGAATTACGACAAAGATAACGAAGGGCGAAAAGTATAAAAATATGAAAATGCGAGTCAGAAATTACATGGGAGAAAACATTTCTATCCTGGGTTTCTCCTACATTTGTTCGCCCAATAATCCTTTGTTCCACAGTGGGCCATTTGTTGCCAAACAATCCTTGTTCCAAAATGAGCCTAATAATAATACCCCCTACCTTCTAAAATAAGTGCCGTGGTATTAGTTCAAATTTAGGGAGTACTTCTCGTTGCAATCACATGGTGGTGTGATGGGTCCACTCTTTGTAAACTATACCGTTATTCTGACGATTTTTTTCCTATTTCTTCATGTTGCCTGGCGGTTTGAAGGCATCCCTTCTGATGTAATCAAATGACCACTATCAAAACGACTCCGTTGTCAGATTAAAGTAAATTTATGAACATGGCCAGAGTCATAATACAATAAACCGTTTATTTATAGGACGAATAAACCGTTCATCATGACATCTAAAAGAAACAAGAATGACGCTGTGAGGCAGATGGAAGTATCACGTTGCACCTGTCTGGTTCATCAAATAGATAAGTATCACGTTGCACCTGTTTGACGCTGTGAGGCATGCCATTTAAAAACTCACAAGTATTAAATTCCTAAAAACAACAAATTGATTGAAATCAGCCAGGTTACAAGTTCTGAATTTCTACTTTAAACATTGGCTTTGATTGTGACTTTGCAATAATGGATTGAACAGAAGCATGTACAACTGCAACACCGAGAAGACAAATATTGAGAATACAAGGAAAATAATTGAGGTTAATGGTCTACATAGAGAACCGAAATTAACACAAAAGGAATCAAGTACAGGAAATATAGCTATTTGTACGAACAGAATGAAGTAAAGTAAAATGAGAGAAATGCCGCAGTATGATGGTACAATCTCAAGCAACAGAATCCCAGCATGACACAACCAGAACAGAAACTAGAAAACAAATGCAAGGCAATCCTGGGCAGATGCATGCAGCAAGAAATAATGTTTGGGTTGCCAATAGTTCTTGAATCTCAAAGCAGCCGAATGTGCATCTCCACAGTCGAATGATTAGCACCGGTGCCAGCAGAGAACGCTCGCTCCACTGATGGAAATAGAAGCTTGGATGCATCACCAAGGCACCAAATAAAACCCTGCATGTATGATATGGGAATCAGCCCTCATCCAGAACAGTCACTATGCAAGTATGCAGTTTTAAAAAGCGACATTCTAGCATCGGGTTCTTACTTGATGAGGTGCTATGTACATCTGGTATATTTGCCTAATGATGTTTTCATAAAAGATATGCTTCTAAAACTGTTAAACTGATCATTGGCAATACTCCGCCAGGTCAATCTGTGGAGGTATTGTTTTTATTTCTGTCCCAAGTTCTTGCTCAATCCTATACCTGCAAACAGAAGAAAACAAACAGTTCAGAAACCTTGGTAGATTAGTAGAAAAGAACTTGTCTTTGTTTCGAAATATCCTAACAAGCCACTTTAGCAAAGTATCCTTACATGTTGAAACGGTCCTCATAAGTGATTAAGTTCACCGCCAAACCAAGGTGTCCAAATCTTCCAGAACGACCAACCTAGGAAAATGTCAAAGGAGTGGAACTTTTAAATGAATCAAGTTATAACAAGTATCAGGGCGCCAACCGGTTTAGAAACTCAAGACTACTGAAGCCTATTAGTTCAAATAATATATAATAAATAAAGAAAAGCACTAGCAAATAAAGCACTGGTGACATGAAAATACATGCTAGACATGTTTTCAGCATTAACCACAAAGCTTTGTCAGTGTCATCAGTAAAACGACTCCGCAATTTCCAAAAGGTTTTGTTCTGGTGATGGTGGTGGTGGTGTGTGTGAGTGCAAACAAATGGAAGGAATTCCCAACATCCATAAGAACCGAGGTTGAACAGCTGAGTTAGCTTTCCAGTGTTCTGCTAAAGTTAGCCAAGCAATAGGAAAAACTACTGGATCAGGTACAGATGCATTGAAACAATTCGCTTCAGAAAACACATCAAAGATCTTTATACTGCAAAACTGAGTGACCCAAACATATAAAACTGCTGTGCTGAAACCATGCATGATGCAAATAAACAACTTACCCTATGCAAATATGTTTCAGCAGTCTTGGGGAAGTCAAAATTGATGACAACATTAACAGCTTGAATGTCAATTCCTCTAGTAAAAAGATCTGCAATCATATAATTTCTTGAGAGAAGTTCTTCATAGCATTTCCCACAAATAAAGTGTAAAATAGCAATGCATTTAGCATTGTATGATATGTAGAAATTCAAATTTAGGCAACCCATACCATGATGAGCGTATGCAGTTTTCTAAAGAATATTTTAGACATAGATAGCTTCATCCCTGCTATGTCTAATACATAGTTTTAAATAGCAGGCTATGGCATTCTACGTTTGGAGCTAAATTAACTCTATGGCGTGCTAAATGACGCTAAGTTGTACACGATGCGTTTAGCGTGAGGCCCCTCCAAACACTATAGCAGAGCTATAACGCAGACATAGCGCACTACTTAAATTATGGTCTAATCCGATAGTCTAGATTTTTATTTCTCTTTATTTATTTATTTTATGTCGCAGATAGTATAACTCTATTTATACAAATCAGGCTAACAAGTTATTCAAGTATTCCTTTGATATTTGCTCAACTCAGCAATAACTACTACTCCCTCCGTTCCTAAATATTTGTCTTTTTAGAGATTTCAAATGAAGTACCACATACGGATGTATATAGACATATTTTAGAGTGTAGATTCACTCATTTTGCTCCGTATGTAATCACTTGTTGAAATCTCTAGAAAGACAAATATTTAGGAATGAAGGGAGTATAATCCCACCTAGTCCTTCCAACCATCTTCAAGCTCAAGTCAACAATTTAGATAAAATGCAGAAAGTATTAATAGCACTCTAGTTAGTAAACTGAGGATGATATATGGTGGTCTATTTAGAAGATTTGTAGAACAAACAAGACTACAAGAGAAGGCTAAATTCTTAAACAACAAGAGACAAAAGACAAATTACAAATTCTAGTGCAAAGAAAGACTACAAGAGTAGTCTAAAGTCTTGGTTCAAGACTAGATGAGCTGAGAAAAACAAATTACAAGTTCACTTTAATGTGTTCAGAACTTCTTTAATTCACCAAAGGCATGCTTTGGAGGCCTAATGATTACGATTTACCCGCGGTGAGATATAATAATAAAAGAGGAACTCGGATATGCTTACGTAGTGAAAAGAAAGTAAATGATTCATAGGAAGACAACTAAGAAGAAATCAGAAAGTGCATAAAAGAATAACAGAAATGCTAAAAATCTGACTCTGAATTTTTAGAGATGGCAAATCGAACGTTTTTTCATGGCAATTTATATTGACGCGAGGATAGCAAATTTAGTTTGCAAGCACGGCAATTTTCCTGGCAAAAAATGAACTGAGGCAGATTTGCCACGCTTGCCAACTAAACTTGCCATCCTCGGCGAACACAACTTGCCATGAAAAATGCTCGATTGCCACGCCTAAAAAACTGACGTCGCTGGATATTCAGGTCCAAGAGTAATCCGGAAGATAACAGATGATTCAGAGTATTTCCTAACAGTGGAAATTTTGATCAAGGCAAAAGGTGGAGAAGAACCTGTGCAAACAAGGTTTCTGCAAGCACCATTCCGAAAATCATGAAACACCCGGTTTCGGTGGTCTTGCAACATTTTAGCATGAATGTAGAAGCACGAATAGCCAAGCTCAGTGATTTTCTTTGCCAGTAGCTCGACTCTATTAACAGAGTTGCAGAATATAATAGACTGATTTATTTGAAGCTGGCGGTGAGAACAAAAAAAAGGAAATGTTTCAGTCTCTCGATATGTACAGGAAACGACAAATAACAAGTTTTGTTGTATCATGTACCTTTGAAAAAAGCGTGTTCAGACAATGAACCTTTTGCCTTTCTTCTACGAAGGCATAGTATTGTGTGATTCCTTTCAGTGTTAGTTCATCCATCAGATTAATAACATAAGGTCTAGGTAGGTACTTCTGCTTAAAATCCTTGACAGTTACAGGAAAGGTTGCAGAAAACAGCAATAGTTGCCGACTAGCTGGAAGGTAACGAATGAGTTGCTCCACGGAAGGCTGAAACTCAGGAGCTAACAGCTTGTCTGCCTGCATTTCAATGAAAGGAAGTCATATTATACTTTTGGAAGATAAGTATCAGACATGTTACATTCATTGATGACTTTCCCAGAGATCTGTACAAGATAATCCTTACAAAACAAAAAGTAACTAAAAATATGTGATAGTACATGATTCAATCATCTAAAAACTATAAATGCATGATTTACACAAGCGAGCATGAGTTACAAACATCAATCAGCAAATAAGAAAAACAAAGACCACAACTGCTCCAAGAAGACAAAAAGCTACAGTATTTGACAACATTTAGACCAGCAGATTAGTAAATGTGTGTGATTTTGATTTAGCACAACATTAGGAAGGGAACAGACATGTACAGCATCAGAAAAAATAAGAGAAGATACAGGAAAGAGTTCTCACTTTTTCCAAGACAGCTCTAACATTATATGATGCTAGACATTAAAGTGACATGACTTAAGATCAATTTGAATAAAGTAGCATGACTTGAGGTCAATTAAGTGAGAAGAAGCGACATCAATTGAAGATAAATAGCCCAACAAAACTAACATACTTGACTTGGCCTGACTACTGTGATGTAAACATGGTCAACAAAAACAGAATCTGAATTGTGTGTTTCTCTAATGATACCTCGTCCATGATGAGCATTGAACATTCGTTCAGCATACAAATGCCCTTCTTGGTAAGATCTAGTATACGGCCAGGTGTCCCGGCGAGTAAATGAACAGGTTGGTACAAACGCATGATGTCGTCCTTCAAGCTGGTTCCTCCAGTACTAACCATAACTTCAATATTCAGGTATTTTCCAAGCTCTTTGCAAACTTGTGAAGTCTGCAGAGCTAGTTCCCTTGTTGGTACCAATATAACAACTAAAGAAGAAATCCATGGATAGAACAGAGTTAAGTTAACAAACAGTATGTAAAGTAAAGTACATGGAAACATAACAATTATCTTAATACGATGTGAACACAAATTGGCACCACACAAACATTATCCTTAACGAAGGCTTCGAGGAGGGAGGAAGGGATCATCAGCTAAGAAGGTAAACGGTTGTTGCATCACAGTTTATAGTTTGATTTCATATTTCAGTAAGAGAACACTAGAACACAAATACTTTGCATGTCCAAAAAATTAAATTGAGCTCCATACCTAATACTCTCAGCAATTTCTACCAGTAGATGCGTTAAAAATAATATCAACACAACAATTTTTCAGAAGTTCGCACTAATTTAACTCATTGAATGCGCGCACAGGAAGTGTGCTATTTGGCATAAATAATGCATCGGCTTGAATGCTAGTCACAAAAATGGTCGTGTGGTAGAAGATGGATGCACGTTATAAATCACATCAACGTAACCAGAAATATGGGATAACCTTTCAACCAACTGTTAATTGTACTGCTAACGTTAAATTGAAACAGTATGGATTAGATGATTTCTTGTAAATGAAACAGTAGAAGTGGCAAGTTCACCTTGTATGGCATTTTTCTCTGGGTCAATCTTTTCGAGTGCTGGAATGCAAAATGCAGCAGTCTTCCCGGTGCCGTTTTTCGCTCTTGCAAGAATATCACTTCCAGTTAGAGCAATTGGAATGCTTTCTTCTTGAATAGGAGATGGCCTTTCAAATCCCTTCTCATATATTCCCATAAGTAGCTCACGTTTCAAAAAATAATCTTCAAACTCATTGCCTTTCGTTGCAGTAACATCCTAAGTAAAGCACCAAACATATTGCAGAATAGAACATCAGTACACCTGACATCTTGCTGAGACTGAAATTCCATGGTGTCATTAGTACTCACCTCTGTCCTAAAACGAGTATCTGGAGCTGGAATATTCAACTGTGCCTTCCAATCTTGAGAGCTGGAACACCCAAAAGAATATCACGTTAAAGGTGACAACTAATTCCCGTAAAGGCAAAGCATTGCTAGGCCAGTTTCATACGGCATGACAAACAAATGAATCGATACGATGCTGCAGAGAAGTATGGAACACCAGCAATGGTGAACCAAGATGAAAACACAGCGTGCTTGCATAAATAAAGTGCATCCAACCAGGAAGCAATCGATTGTAATAGAGCAAATGAGCTTGCAACCCAGTGGGTAGTTGCTTATTCAGCTTATTCAGTTAACAGTGTATACAGAGGAAGAGTTAAGCCTCTTGCAGCCATACAACTTAAGCAGAGCACTGCCTTGTCTACAAGGACATGATCTAATCATGAAATAGCTCCTCTTCCCCCACCCCCACCACCACCCGCAACCCCACCCCACTTCCGCGACCACAAGAAAATCGCATCCGGGCGACACAAACCCTATCAATCGGCAATAAGTAGCGTTTGGCGAAGGGCCATGCGGAAACTGTGTGTAAATGGCCCGTACCTCGTGTCCACCGCGTCGAGTCGCGCCACCGTCCTGGCCGCACCCTCTCCTGAAGCCTGGGCCGCGGCCTGGTCCCGCCGCAGCCACTGCTGATGCTGTTGTTGCTGATGCTGCTGCTGCTGTTGCTGCGAGAACGAGTTCCTCTGCGCGTGCTGCTGCTGCTGCTGCTGCGGGAACGAGTTCCTCTGCGCGTGCTGCTGCTGCTGCTGCTGGTAATCGTGGTGCTGGGGATGCGGGTTTCGGCCGCCGTAGTAGTTTTGGTTCCCGCCGCCACCTCCTCCACCGCCGCCGCCGCCGCCGCCGTTACCACCGCGGCCACCGCCGCCGTAGTCGTAGCCGGGCGGGTACCGGGCCCTCGGGTGGTGCATGGCGGGATCTAGGGTTTTGGAGCTGGGGGCGACCAGGCGCGACGGATCTAGGGTTCCGACGGTTTGCCCCTTTCGGAGGGCGTGGGTTTCGCTTTTGGGCTTTGGACGCGGTGGATCCGATCCAGAAGTGCTCGGTTTCGAAATGTAGACCTCGGGAGGAGGCGGATATTTTTCTGTCTGATGAGGGGGGTTGCTGCATGGTTAGCATCCATTTCTCGGAAATTTTCAATCAGAAAACTGTCTCCGGGCTTGATGTTAGAGCATTACTAGTAGAGCCCTCAAATCCTCAAATCCCTAAAAATAACCGTTTTTTTACAGTTTTCGCTGAAAAAACTCCATAGACTAGAACCTCTAAACCCTCAAACTCGTAAAAAAATTTAGAGGTCCAACCCTTAAACGACTTTGCAATCTGTAGAAGTAGGGGTTGAGGGGAAAATCTTCCCCCAACCCGCACTCCTCCTCGTCGCAGTCATCCTCGCTAGCGCGGGAGCCAACCGCTCGCCAGCCCACCGCCGCCTCCCGCTGCTTCCCGCCCCGCCGGCGATGGAAGCCCCCGCCGCGGCCGCGCCCCCGCCCGCCGCACCAGCCGCTCCCGCCCCGCCCGCCCCGGC